ATTAAAGGTAATCTGTACTCAGTTATCAATGACTGTCACTGGCATTTAGCAAGGATGACTAAAGAGTCCAACTTTCTGGTCATTGGTTTTCACCCTCTCGTTCCCCAAACTTCACACCAGTAATTAGGGTCAGATGTGCATTTTCTTCTTTACTTCTGTTCGTTCTTGTTAGAAATCCTAATTAGCAGTGAAATGGTTGAAGGAGAAGTGAGCCAAAGAGAGGAAGAGGAAATCAGCCTGAAGAACAAGAATTTTATAATAAGAATGTGTGATCTGACTTTTCCCCATTGTGTCTTTCCAGACTTAAAGGGAATAAATATTGGAAAGATAAAGAATGAATCAGTGATTATTTTCTTGAACTGGTTAAAAAAAATATGACCAGTAATAAAACATGGGTACAAGAATCAGCTCCTCAGGATTTAGGCTTTTGTCTCTGGGTTCTTTGGATTCATTCACAGCCATTGCAGCTATTATTTGCACCCATATGTGGAGAAGATTAACTCCTTCCTGGGAGCCACACATCCTCAATGACAGGACCAGTCCCTCATCAGGAAACCAGAGTCTCTCCTACCAGGTGGTCCTACCGATGACACCAGAAGATGTAGCATCTATGTTTATCAGGAAATGTAGTACAATCTATTTCTAATCCCTTTCCTGATCATTGTCCCAAATAATATGTACAGAAAAATATTTAGGTTTAATGCATGTTTATCAATAAGAAACACCTTTTTTTTTTCCTATTTGGTAATCTAGAAAATAGATCCTACAACTGAGAACCATAACAGGGATGGGGAGAAATACTTGTCACTTGTGTTAGGTGAGAATCCAAAATAAATAAGCACATATCTGAGGCAAATCAGTGCCTGTTAAATGCCAGAAACTACTCTCTGAGAGATTACATTCCAAGCCTATAGGATGGCAGGGGTAACAAGATCATTTAGCTGAAATAAGAAAGTGTTTTTTTAGGAAGACAATATGCTCTGAAAATAGATAAGGAATAATAGCTTTTAATTTTTTGTGGTAGGCAGAATGGCCCCCTGCAAATGTCCAAATCTCTGCAACCTTTGAATCGTTATGTTGCATGGCAAAGATACTTTGCAGAGATAATTAAGGTTAAAGGGCCTTAAAAATAAGGGGATTTTTTTCTGGATTATCCAGGTGGACCCAATTAAACCACATGAGCCTTAAAAACAGAAAAATGTGGCAAAAGGATAAGTTGGAGAGATTTAAAGCATGAGAGAGACTCTACCCATCTTTGTCAGAGTGGCCATATGGACTGTGTGAAAAAGTATGTAGAAAACTTATAGGAATAACTGCTGACAGGTAGCAAAGAAACAAGGACCCCAGTCCTATAGCTACAAAGAACAGAATTCAGCCAGCAACCTAAATGAGCTTGGTAAGGATTCATCCTCAGATTCTTATGAGATGCTACACAAGGCCCCACTGAGCCATGCTATACTGAGCCCTCTGACCTACAGAACTGTGTGATAATAAGTGAGTATTATTTTAAGCTGATAACTGTGATCATTTGTCAAGGCTGATACGCAACTACAGAAAGTAGATAAGAGACCCCCATGGAGAAGACAACTAGCTCTCATAAAATCTACCGTCACAATAAATACTGTAGTGATCTAAGGAATATTTAAGAAGTGAAGAAATGTTTATTTCTCTGAAATGTTAACTGGACAGTGTGCTGTCTCCACTCTACTTCTATGATCTTTTCTGATTTCCAAGTCATCACAGATGCTGAAGGCCTACTTTTCAACCAACCAGCTGACTTTACGGCCATCCTTCAAGGGCAGTTGTTGCCCAGATTATATTTTTTTACTGCCACTTACCACAAGTTCAAAATCATTTTCAAAACTAAACATGTTTGAGGTTAGAAAGCTTTCTTTTAAGAGAAAATGGGACAAACTGAAATCTATGTACTTATACTCTGTTTACCTCCCTTCAAATCTTATGAAAAGGGTATTAAGAAACTGACCTTGCTCCCAGCTCCGTAACCAGTAAGCAACACACTAGAGATGGAAATTCATGCTGTCTGTCTCCTAAGCATGGGGAATTTAAAGGACTTTTCCAGGTAATAGTTAATTACATCTCCTGCTTCTGACAGGTTTCTGAATTTATTTATTTATTTTTAAAGATTTTATTTCTTTATTTGACAGAGAGAGACACAGTGAGAGAGGGAACACAAGCAGGGGGAGTAGAAGAGGGAGAAGCAGGCTTCCCACTGAGCAGGGAGCCCGATGTGGGGCTCAATCCCAGGACCCTGGGATCATGACCTGGGCTGAACGCAGATGCTTAACCGACTGAGCCACCCAGGTGCCCCAGGTTTCTGAATTTATTAATAGGATTTTAAACTATACAGACACATACACATGCAAAAGAGTAAACTAGTCTCTCTTCATTTATGCAATATCTTTCCCATTGTTTCTTGTTCACTATCCATTTGTTCCCAGCTAGAAAAAAATATTAAGTATTAAAACACAATATTGTCTTATTCTACAGAGGTTGATTCTTCCTCCGCTGGTGGGTTCTCTCTGGGCTGGTACAACCCCTACAGGCAGGGTGGGACATGGTTCTAAGTGGGCTCTGGGATGAGAACTTTCTACCAAATATTCCAAGATAGCTGTTGGAAAATTCCTGGCAACTCCTTGAAATCCAGTCATGTAGGTGTCTATATTCTGCCAGGATCAGGTCCTTTTCTGAAAATCCCTCCACTCAGAGGCAAGACTGCAGGGCCCTCTGCACTCTCTTCCTGTGTGAATCTGAAGTTCACAATTAGCACATTCACATTTTTTTATAGCATGGACTTCCCTTTCCTGTCACTTTCTGTGTCTCACAATTGAGCATATCATTATTTAAGCCTATCTTGTTGTTATATTATATACTCTCAGGCCATGTTACCTAATTGAATCGTGTGAGTATGTCCCATCACCTCATCTAGACTATAAACTTCTTTGAGTACTAATATCAGTTTATTAACTTTTTGTACCCCATGGCATGCCATTATGCATTCACACAGTGTTAGGGATATGATAGCACAGAATAAATATCTGATAGATTTACTTATATTTAACCCCAAATAGGTGATGGAACCTGCCTTGTTACAGAATATTTGTATTAAGCCCTGTTTTTTCTGATCAAAACATCAAGAAATTTTAAATAAAGCAGCATTGTAAAATAAAATAATTATAGAGTGGGAATAATATCGGAATGACAAGGTAGTGCTAAGATGTGGGTAAGAGAGGGAAACAGAAAAAAGATTTTTTTAATCTAAGATAAAATTGAAATTTTAGGAAAACAACATACCTATAACATATAAGGGTTGGTTATGCATGATATAAAATTTATAATGTAAAAAAAGACAAGTGAGGACACCTGGTTGGCTCAGTCGGTTAAGCATCTGCCTTCAGCTCAAGCCATGATCCCAGGGTCCTGGGATCAAGTCCCACATCGGGCTCCTTGTTCAGGGGGAGCCTGCTTCTCCCTCTGCTTGTGCTCTCTCTCTCTCACACACACAAATAAATAAATAAATAAAATCTTTAAAAAATATATTTAAATAGTTAAGCTTTTAAAAATAACTTTTTAGGGATGACTGGGTGTTGTAGTCAGTTAAACATCTGTCTCTTGGTTTGGGCTCAGGTCATGATCTCAGGCTTGTAAGATTAAGCCCCACCTCTGGCTCCATACTCAACTCGGAGTCTGCTTGGGATTCTCTTTCCCTATCTCTCTGCCTCTCCCACTCATGCTCTCTCTCTCTCAAATAAATAAATAAATCCTTAAAAAAATAACTTTTTAGAAATGTCCCATTTCATCTCAAGCTCAACATCAAAGTCAAAGCTCTTTACCATTTCTTCCAAACACTCCAACCTTCTCTCACTTCTCTGCTACTTGGTAGCAGGAAACTTAGTGTCCTGTGGACTCTCTAGGATGGAAGGAAGAGGTCAACTGGCTGGGGGTGCAAGGAGCCCCTTGCTGTTCTCAGCCCCATCAACGGATGAATTCATGACCTTTCCCAGCTTCTAGCACCTGGAGCATACATAGCATAGATTCCTCACTATTGGTCAGGGGTGGACGTTTGGGGAGAGGGGAGGGAAAGCCTACCATAGAGAGAAGCAAATTTCTGGAAAAAGTACAAAATCTCTGAATTATGCCAGTGATGTGTCCCAAATGTATTTTGTTTTTCAAACCTATTATCTGTTTTCAACAAATCCAATTGGGTTCTGAATTTCTTATCCATACATAAGTCTTAAAGTTTAGACTTCTGATATGGAGCTCATATCTAACTTGATACTCTTCTTGGGAAACTTGGTTGGCAATTGGGGAACTTTTGATCACTGTGACATAGGTAGAAATAATTGCAGGGTTTTTGAAATTCATAGGTAAAGTTTAAATGTGTAGTATGACTTTTCCATCAAGTAACAATTTACCTGAGTTTCTAATAATCAGCAAATCTGATTCCAGTATTTCTATACTGTCAACCATATGTAAGGAGAGATTCTTACAAACTAGTTCTTTCTAATCTGGGTTTTTGTGGCCCTAGAGATGATGAAATTAGTGAAATCATCAAAAGAAAATAGCAGGGTTTAGGTAATACACAAACTGAGTTATTCTAGACTGCGAATTATCATAGAGGATATAAAAAACACCTTTTGAGTACTGTGATATAGGGAGACTTTTAATATAAGTCTCTGTGAACCAAGAGGGAATGAGTTATTTTCACTGCTCCTTAAGGATTTCCTTGCAATATTTGAAAGTTCTTTATTTTCACCTCTATGGAGTTTGTTTCATATGTTATGAAACCATTATTGAATTCAGAAAATAAAACCGAATAAACTATTTGCAGATAGAATTAGAACTAGTGACATGTGTAAGGCTTGAACAAGTGGACTTGGCTTTTCCTTCCTCTGAGACCCCTGAAAAGCATTTGAGAATTAAACATGCATTCCTAGACCTCATTATCACCACCCTGAAAGCAGTCTGTTTTTGTGTTGCAGGCAATGAAAGCTTAGAAGAAAACTATGTCCAGGACAGTAAGATGGGGTTTGTCATCAATGCCATCTATGCCATGGCTCACGGGCTGCAGAACATGCACCACGCCCTCTGCCCAGGCCATGTGGGCCTCTGTGATGCCATGAAGCCCATCGACGGCAGCAAACTCCTGGACTTCCTTATCAAGTCCACGTTCATCGGTGTGTCTGGAGAGGAGGTGTGGTTTGATGAGAAAGGGGATGCTCCTGGAAGGTAAAGCAGTTCTTTTCTGTAATGGTTCGAATAACCTTGTGATCCTCTTAGCTAGACAGATGGCAACTCTGGCCCCTTTGGTTCCCTGGTTTCCAGGGGTCATAAGGATATAGATACAACTGAAAGTTCAAAAGACAGGGCTAATCTTAGACGGAAATTATGTTGTAAAACATTGAAAACTTCTTGGTAAGCATTCACAATTCTGTATTCTCCGGTGCCAACCCCCTACCCAGCTATTACCCTGGCCCTTCTCTCAGAATGCATGGGACCTCCTACAAGCCCAAGAAAAGGATAAGATTACACCTGAGCAGCAGGCTCCTACCTGGCAGTTCCAGCACCAGACCAGCATCTTTCTGATCAATTGCTCCCAAGGCCATCCTGGTTGTGTAAAGTTTTAATAAGTGCTTAAATATATGGGGCACCTGGGTGGCTCAGTCCATTCATTACATGTCTGTCTCAGCTCAGGTCATGATCCCGGGGTCCTGGGATCCAGTCCGGCATCAGGCTCCCTGCTCAGCGGGCAGTCTGCTTCTCCCTCTTCCTCTGCCCCTGCCCTCCCTGCTCGTGCTCTCTCTCTCTCTCTGTCAAATAAATAAATAAATAAATCTTTTTAAAAAAAAAAGAGCTTAATATATGAAGAGAACCAAGTCCTCCTTGTATATCCCCTTTCCTTGGGCTAACTTATGTTCCTACTAACATGTCTCTTGAAACAAAAAAGCAAAGAATTTTCTTTCTGGTATCAAGTCTCTATGGCTTCCAAAGAATTAATCAGGAAGCAAAGAAAAATTAAACCTAACAAATATATATGTTTTTCCCCAAGTCATTTTATATACAGTCTGTTCTGCAACCGCTGCTTTTATAATATCAGTTAGCTCACATGTGATTGGTAGAGAATGATGTCAGTTTAAGGAGCAGTTGTCTTCATTCATATGAAATTTTCTAGGCAAGGATAATCAGAATCGTGGGAAAAGATTAAAGTCTGCTGCAGGAAAGAAAAAGGCCCTCAGCTTGGCTGCTATTCAGTATGCCCACAATCTTGTTTTTTTTTTTTTTTTCCCTCTCTTAAGCCCTGTTATCTTTCAGTATATGATTTTACAGAATGAGAAATTTTAGGAAAGCATATGTTGTGTTAAAATGGAACATCAAATCATTTAATCCTCATTGCTATAGGCATATCATTATCCTCTTTTACAGATGATAAACTGAGTGTCAGAGAAACTAAGAAACTCACCTAAATTCATGCAGTGAGTAGCTGGTAGAGGCAGTGCTGTCTGAGTCTGACACTTAAATTTTTTTGCCACATCATGTTGCCTTTTAGCTAATCCTAAAATTAGGCAAAGATGCTGGCAGCCTGCTTAATGTCATTTCAAAGGTACTGTTAGAGACTAGCTGACCCTAAGTAATTCCCAACATATCTCTTCCTTTCATGTAAGCTTAAAATTCTGTGTTCAGACAGTGCTCAGACAATATTCAAATAATGATGAATTTATCAGATTCCTTCCAGGCTGCCAGTTAGGTAGGAGGAGATGTAGATCCAAATGTGAGTGGAGTGGATGGAATGATTTAGGGCCTAGGGATGTGGAAAGCTTCCAGGTGCCGGGCACTCTGGGAAACAGTACCAGAAGGAACAAATGGACCTGAGTGCTCAGAACACTGAGCACTCTCTCCTTCAAGCCCATGGTTGTCATCCTGGGTTCCACTGGAAACTAGGCTCCATAAACTGTTAGATTTGGAATGGAAACCTACCTTCATGATTCTCTAAGACGACATACACAGTGTGCCCAGTACAGGACGAGATGCCTTTTAGACACTCCCTGTGTACGAGTTTCCTCCTGCTCTCTTTATTTGTTAAGTTATCCAAAATATAGGCACGCAGTTTTAGCTTGTTTTTCCTCCATGTGTAATTACATGTTCCAGTCATGAGCTTTCCCCTGGGTTCCTTTTCAAGGATCACTTCCTCATGCTTGAAACTGGTCAGCTTAATCTGTGTTCAGTTTGTTTTAACCACCTCCCTCTGCTTCCATCCCCTCTCATACCACCATTCATGCTCTTGGTCCCTCTTGTAATTATTTTAGTTAATCATCATGCAACATAAACTGAGTGCATCCAGAGGATGCTATAAAATTGTAATTTACAGCATGAGGATATTCCAAATGAATGCCAACATGCCGAGAAGGGACTCGGATCAAGAGAAAAGAGCCGTGTTCATTAACACACATAGCACAGGGGAAGGCCTCTGTTTAGCATCTCAGTTGTTTTCCCTTGGTATCTTTCAGTATTTTTGTCCTCTGGCTTTTGGAACTTTTTGAAAAATGTGTTTTCATGCCAAAATATTATGAATTTTTCAGTTTCTAAATGCTAATGAAGTGTGAACTGATTTCTCCTATTGAAGAGCAAGCGAGGATTGAAATAAGTCTTAGGAAACTTGATGTGGTTTTGGAATATAAGTGAGGTTCAGTGGGGTGGAATCCTGAGCCAATGACCAAGAAAGAATTCTTGAGACATCTTTGGTGCAAAATGGTGGTTTATTAAAGCACAGGGATAGGACCCGGGGGCAGAAAGAGCTGCTACAGCAGGGTTGTGAGGGGTGGCTGATTATATACTATGGAGTTGGGGGAGGTAAGGGAAAGGGAGGTTTCAAAAGGATTTTCATATGTTAAAGAGGACTCACAGGATACCAGAGCCCTTGCCATTGTCAAGTTAAGGTTATTTTTCCCTCTAGCAAGGCATTAACATTAAGATAGTTGGGAGCTTCCTGGAAGAACCTTATACTCTGCCCACTTCAAGTATCTGTCAATGGGCTGCAAGTTATAAGGACATTTAATTGTATGTACATTTCCTTCTGGAAGCTAGGTTATTGATAGAAATGCTTTGTTCTTATAGATTGCTAAGACATTTGTAAATTGAGGGAGACTCATGTCTTGCAGGATTGTGATCTCTACAAGTTAACTATTTGTTTTTCCTTAGCTTTAGGGTATCCAGGAGTGCATGAGGAATGTCACATATATCCCATCTGAGGGGGGTGGTTTGTAGGGTGTCAGCTTCTGCTTTGTCCTCAGCTTGCCTTCTGTTTCCTCATCAAACTGTTTTATAGGAAAAAGATACCCTAAAGCTAACATTGTCCCAAAGTCTTCATTGAAAGTATGTAAGGAGAGTCAGTAACAATATGGGGTAAAACATAAAAATTAAAGGAAGTGAAAAAGGAACTATTCACCAAACATTCACAACAGGTTCTATAACCATGAGTTTAAAATGGAAAAATATTGGAGGTGTAGATTAGCATCATTGGTCAGCAAGATGAGTAGGAGCCATCAGCCCACACTTAGTAGCTACTTGGATTTCCCTCAGAGAGCTACTCTGAAGAACATGCTGGGATGGCTCCACAACAAGAAGAATGAGGACCTTTATTTATTAGCCAAAAGTCAGAACAGCAAAGAGATGAATAATGTGCTCTAGGCGTGCCATTTTCTCTTCTCATCTGGTAGGTTCCTTTTTCCTGGAAAAGTAGGGGAAAAACTTCCTTTCTTCTCCCAGAGTCCCCTTTCCCTTTAGAGAAATTGCCAGAATGTGGATATGGAGAAGCCACTAGCTACCCTGTGGATGGCAGGATTAATTTGCACATTAAGAACAGACAGAAAAGCCAACAAAGGATATTAGTTGTCTAGATAAAGAACTAAGTCAGATATAGCCAATAGGTTTTGGATGCCAACTAAGGTTGACAATAGCTTCCTGGAGTGCTGGGCTGAGGAGGACTCTGAGTGTGAATCAGGTTTAGAGAGAAAGAATTGCAAAATGAATTAGGTAAGAGTGTTGGGGGTTGAGAGGGGAGGAAGAGGAATACATGTTAGGTAATTGCCATCTATTTCTTCAGGTCAAGCACAAAGAGCAAGAGACCATGCCTCTTATATTCTAGTGCAGGACAGTGAGAACTGCACAGGTACTGCAGCAAAAAGAATCCCATTTTGCAGAGCCAGTAAGGGGGAATCAGGAATACATTTTTGGGAAACTGCCACATGAGTTGTAGCTTACTTGGAGTTAATAGCAACATGGAGAAAAGATTGAAGAATGCCAGAGGATTTCCAATGACTGTGAGAGAGACAGCTTTTGTTCTCCAGTTTTCTTCTGGTAGTGAAAATAACCAGAGTATTTTAGGGCATTCATAGTAATACAAATATGAATGATATAGTGATATTGCCTTACATATGCATTTGTCCCAGTTGTGAAATCGTTTTTTTACATGACTTATATTAATTAATCCCCACAAGAACCCCGGAACCTTTAAGAGTTTAGTGACATTCCTAAGTAGTATAATCTACTGCTAAAATGTTAGAAAAGAGATTCTAGCTTATGCATTCTAATGTCAAGTCCTGTGCTCTTTTCATCGCTTTGGAGAATGTTCTCCATTGCCAACATTGAAAAATGATGAGGTCTGTCCCCCAGAGCACACTCAAGCTGCAGTGAGGATTTCAAAATGTAGATTTTTCCATAGTGTAGTATTGCAGCATTTGAAATTACTGGAATATCTGACACCGATTATTTAGATTCAGAAATGTTTGTCCTAATCAAGGAAGAGACCAGTTTAAATGTCAGTGCTCAAGATGTTAAATCCTCAACATCCTTGTTAATTAAAGCTGTGTTTCTCAGATTTCTTGCTTTATTAGCACCTAAAATAGTTTCCAGACTTGGTAAAACTCACTTCTTTTAATCCAGCATGATGAAAATGACAACTGATTGTGAAAAAGGACATTAGAATGAAATTAATCAAGTTAAGAAATTAATGTTCTCAAGAATCATGACTTAGTGAATAATGATTTGAAGGAGATGGTATTCAACTCAGCACACATAAGATTATTTGGGGGGAGAATAAGCAAAGAGAAAAGTACAAGAGTAATACATTCTTTAGCAGATATGGACAATACACAGAGACTACAGAGTGAAACACACATTTTGGAAAATCAGAGGAAACATTAGAAACGGAATAAAATATTGACAGGCCTTAGGACGTGGGATGATTCTTGCTCTTATCTCCCTTCTATTATCTGTTTACCAAATTTCTTTGTTTTCTGCATCATGTCCATACTCTCCAAGACACATGTGTTGTTTTCTTTGTAGGTATGATATCATGAATCTGCAGTACACAGAAGCTAATCGCTATGACTACGTACATGTTGGAACCTGGCACGAAGGCGTGTTGAACATCGATGATTACAAAATCCAAATGAACAAGAGTGGAGTGGTACGGTCTGTGTGCAGTGAGCCTTGCTTAAAGGGTCAAATTAAGGTAAGCCAGCCACAGACGCATTCTTGGACAGGAGGAGGCCACCTGCATGGGCCTATGTAAAGAAAAACAGACATTTTTCTTAGACAAGACTGTCCAGAAAGGGTGTGCCAAGCCTTTAGCTAAAATTGGAAAAACAAAGAAAGATTAGGAAATGAAATAGGCAAACCATTCGAATATTTAAGAATAGTCCTTATTTGAATCGCAATGATGAGCCGGAATCTTCAACCCAATATAGAAAGCACGGGGACAAATACTTGAATTAAAAATTGAAACAGAAGTAAATGTGGAAACCAAAACCAATGATACTGCTTAGTCAGAGTTGTAGCTATTGTTAAAGAAAGCAGAAGCTGAACAGTACAAAATAAGCATGTAATGAACATAAAAGAAGTTGAAATGTGCTAACACAGAAGCTGCTTATTGTTTCTCTTTTGACCACCACATTCTTTGATTTTCCTGAAATAGGCATTTTGTAGCCAAGAGAGAGTCCTCACTTCCTAATTATTCTTAGAAGCTTTTTTTTATCAGCCTGGGGCAAGTGAGTAACCACAGTATTGCTGTATGCATAACAGTAGAGTAAATAAACATTAAATATTGAGCCTTTGGCTGGGTGAGCTAGAGAGAATTCTCAGTGAAGAAAGCATGGAAATAGCCCTCCCTGCATCCATGCTATTTAAAACCAAACACTATGGTGCACTAGGAAATCGAGCATGGGGCAGTGATGGCCAACTGGCAGGAGGATGGATTAAATGAACTGCTAGGTCTCTCCCCTCTCTAATTTGCTGTGATTCAGCTCTGGGAGCAGACAGGCTGTCACGTAAATGTCACATGGCACAGCTGGGCTGGAGTAGACGCTGTAGGAGGCCTGGCCCCTCCGGCCATGCCGCCCCACCACCTGCCCTTCCTGGGAGCTGCGCACCGCCCCTGCAGGGAGAAGCCCTGACAGGTACACTGAGGGGTCTGGGAGTGTGCAGAAGTACTGCTGCAGAAACTGGAAGAGCCTCACCTCCACTGGTCAGTGAAGGCAGAGGATTTGGAAATTGCAACATCTTTTTGAAGAGCTGTCATGATGGACTCAAACTCTCAGTGATACAGGCCACTTTGAGGAAGCAAGAGACTTCTGAGACAATTCACCCCAGTTTGTTTGATTGAAGGGTTGATTGCATTTTATTTTTTTTATTAGAGTATAGTTGACACACAAGGTTACATTCGTTTTATTCACCCTAGTTTTAAATATCTTGTGACTTCTATGGAGATGTGATATTAAAAGTACGTAATAATTGTCATGACAACTAACCAATCAGATTGGACTCCTTCCTGGTGCTGTGACAGGGTCCTGGAGGCCTCCTGCCAAGCCCAGGGTTAGTCCTTGGATCTTGGGAAGATATGGGCGAGGAGTCCTGTAAGGCTGGAGTAGCATGGGGCATTCAGGAGGCTCGAAGAGACCATGAGTTTCTCTGCACAGAAGTGTTTCAGCAGTGTAAGCATGGCTGCAACCACACCAGTGTGTATGGGCTCCTCCCCAGGAATCCCATTTCTGATTCTTGTCCTGATGAAATTCTTTCACATGAGGCTGTCTGGTGGTTTAAAATCCAGAGGCCCATAACTTCTTGACTATTTCCACGAGATGCCAGACCACTGGATTCTATGTTTGTCATCCTTTCTGGATGGTGGGGAAATAGGACATCTGAGACGGAGGTCATACCATCGGGACAAAAGAGAAACCCTGAGCTCATGGACTTCTGTGACTCAAAGAGTATCACATGTCTGGCTCAAGCCTTTCCAGCTTGTGTGTTAGCATTGTCTATGCCTCACACAACCACTGTAAAACAGTTTATAGAACTACAGAGTTGGGTTTTTCAGAGTATAAGAAAAACAAACCAACCAACCTGGCAAGAGAAAACAAATTGTTCTAAAAGATTCTCTTCACTCCAGCCGCCTTTCACAATTCCCTGCTATCCCTGTGATTGCTGGCAGGCCATGGATGGGGCCTCACATACCATGTGGATTCTGCTTTGTACATTCCAGAAGAAAGGCCTTTCCTCCCTGAGTTCAGAAGAAAGGCTGTCTGCATACATCTCTATACCTGGATACTAAAGTATTTCTGGCAACATGTTTGCATTACACCCATGCAGTGTTTGTTATTGAAGGAGATCCCAGAAATCATCTCAGAGCCATTATAGAGCACTCACTATAAATGCAAATCTCTTGGGGTCTAATTTTAGAACTGTTTTGTACCCTGCAAGAGGAAAATATGCCTGTTCTCAATGGCACCTGGAGTGGAGGTTGGGGTGGTGGTGGAATGTTTGTTTGTTTCCCTTAAGTACCAAGGGAGGTATGGAAACAAATGAAATCTGAATCCCATTTACCAAATGATAGCACTTATATTCTTACACCACCAATTTGCCACCTACCAGGCCCAGGATGCAGAGAGCCAGATCCCTCAGTAGCCACTACAAAAACAGGAGAGAGGCAACAACGAGCAAGGTGATTGTAGGACTTGCACTTGCGTTAACTGGGAAATACACTGTTTAGAAAAGGAGTACTCATTTTAAATATCAAATGCCATTTAAAGTGCTAAAATAAATGATTTGACTCTTTTTGTGATAACCCATAGAACTCTTTTATGGTAATTTCCCTCAAAGTAGTTAAAAGTCCAGTTTTCTTATGTTACTGATTTTTAGAAATATAAATATAATATCTTACACATATAATATCTTACAGAAACATTTATTTTAACCATTCCATAAACATAGTTAAATAAAATCAAACTTTTTATGGTTGTGTGTTATATTAATCAGGGTTCAGACAGGAAAAAAAGAACCCTGGCCAGGTTGTTTGATAGAGGGAATTTAATATAAGAAATTGGTTATGTAAGTGAACGAGGGTGCCCAGGGCACCTCAGAGTTGACCAACAGCAGGAATCATGCTCACCCCGGGCCAGAGGGACACAAGGAGGAGTCACAGCCACTCCTGAGATGACCCGAGAGGATACCGTGGCTTCTCTTCTTTCCTTCTCTTCGGTTTCCCATTAGGTCCTTGCATTTTGCCAACACCATCCGGAAGACATTGGCAAGAAAGCCTGGACGATGTAGTTCACAGGTTTCCTGGAAACCTTTAAACTAAGCAAGGCTTAAGGGCTAGTGCATTACTGGGAAATAGGATCTCAGAGATGCAAGAGTGAAGGGGAAGGGGAAAGGAGCCACGGAAGCGTGGAAAAATGCCAGCACCACCATCATCCCTGAGGTAATGCTCTACTGAGCCGGACGCTACTCCACTGAGTACAGCTAGTCGTTCAGCCTCACAGAGATCTCTGGACAGGCCGCTCGCACTGCCTCCTGAAGCAAGGAGGGGAGAAGGGTGTGTGCACCTGTGCCATGGCAGTTTCTGCTTACTGTGGTCAAAGTTTGTTCACAGGAAGTGACACCATCTGATCCCTTTAGGCAGCTACTGGGGAAGCCAGAATCTCTGTCCCATTCCATGGTCCTTTTTCAGATTAGAAGTGGTCAGAGGACCAAAGCCTCTGTAGATCCCCTGCAATCTGGTCTGGCCTTCTGTTGTGCTGAGTACAATGGAGCCATTCTGAAACCCAGTGATGGAGTCACGGGAGAGACAGACAGGCGGAGGTGCCAGAAATGAGGCAAGAGTGATAGAGGCTGAGGTAGGGGTTGCAGAAGATTCCAGGACTTTCCAAGAGCCAGTCGCCAAGGGCCTAAGAGACAGGCTTGAGGAAGAGGATCTGAGGCAGCATACAACGTGTGGACAATGGATCTGCAAGCAAACACCAAGGGCCTGGCATGTGTGGTGGTCTCCTGTACCAAGCGTGCAGCGGTTTTTCTTGGTGTGGTGAAGGGCAGGAAAGAGCCGAGAAGGGGCAGGAAGGTGAAGGGGGGCAGTAAAAGGAAGAAGGGAGACAATAGAGATCAGAGACAAAGGTTTATCAAGCATATTCTTGTGCAGGTACAATAATAGGTGCATTACAGTCACCATTTTAATTATTCCTTAAAATAACCCTTTTAAAGCTGATACTCCCCCCCGCATTTTGCAGATTCCTCAATCTGAGGCCCAGAGAGGCTGAGTCACTTGGCCCAAGCTTTCTCAAGCTAGAAAGTGCCAAAGCTGTGCTCGGAGCCAGCCCAGAGCTCTCATCATCCCACCGCCTCAGGTGGTTTAGCTACCTGTCATTAGAGGACCCAGTGTATCTCTTACAAATGCAAGTCTCAGTTGCTAAGCCTTATTTTCTCAGTAGTTGACAATAAAATTATAAATAGAGTTCTACTTTAACAGGGAATAGAATCTAGAATTGAAGAAGCAATATTAGCAAAGGAGCTTGGGAGAGTTTAATAGAAGCAGGGAAACTGGAGACAGAGTCGAGGGAAAGAATCCTGCAGATTATTTTCAGTGGCTCCTATTCTTTCTTTTCCTCTCCTTTCTTTTTTCCTCCCCTTAAGTTTGGGTTCTTTACTTTGAGAGGATGTCTTTGGGGCTAAGGGGTTGGGCATGAGGAATGGAAAGCCCTGATTCCTCCTGTTCTTGCCCAGCCAGTCAAAACAGAATTCTGGAGAAATTACATGAACGTAATAGAATACATCACAAGTGTGTCCTCATTTACACATGCCATATTGTCATATAGTAAAATACACCTTACATACGTACAGAAAAGCCCAGGTACACTTATCTTACAAACTACAGGCTTTGGAATTAGGTTAGCTAATTTCCTTTCAAGGGATAAGTCTGATTCTTTTCCATTTGTTGGCATTTTCTATTGGAGAGATAAAAGTTTAGTTTCAAAAGTGTTAGCAGTGTGAACCTCAGAAGATTGCTTAACTTAAAACTGCTAAAGCCCCTTGCTCAGCTTCAGCTTCCATGTCCCTCTGTTTCCCATTCCAGTTAGATCAGCAAAGAGGCCAAACCACGGATTTGTTGAGTATCAAACTAAAAGGGACATGTTCATTTTCACTGTTATCCAAGATGTCTTCAAAGATGAAAGGATGCTAGGACAG